GAGTAGAAATGTTCGAAAGCAAAGCCTCTCACTAATATCGTCAGCCCGTGCACAGTGTTGTGTACAAAGGTTAACAAATTGAATACACCCGTGAAACGTAAACTGTTTTTGTAAACAGGGCACGAGCTCTGTTATTGTTAATGTTTACGATTCACCGGGTGTGTTCAATTGTTAAAGTCTGCACACACCACTGAGTACGGACTGACAATACTGTGAGTGGGTTTTGCTTTCGAACATTTCAACTCTGAATTTTCTGGATTATAGTTCTAATATTTTTCATTAATACACAACAAAATTGCCACTTTTCTTAAGTATTAAGAATAAAATTAAAATTTGTGAAAGTGCAAGGATGTGTCAATCAAACGCGTCCAGAAATTTGAAGTTTCAATAACTTCGAGATGAAATAAGATTTTTATTTTATTTTAGTATGAAATACTATAGCAACATATAAGTCATGAAATTATACAGAAAATTTGAGAAAATGTTAACTTCAAATCTGTGTCCAAGCACCTTTAAATTTAAAAAAAAAAGGTTTTGAAAAACTATGGTGTTATTGCAAGAATGGCAATGAATGGAATGACAATAATTCAAGAACTGACTGTAGTATAAATACTCAAAGGGAAAAATAAGACATTCATATATTTTGGTTTCACTCAGTCACATGACAAGGTCAGATGGTGAGAATTATGTACGCCTACCAACACTTTTTTTATTTGATACCAGAATTTGAAGTCTTCTTAAGTTACTGACTTCATTTTCTCTACCTAGTTGGAGAACTTAAGATGACAATATCTTGGGATTTTTTTTAATGCTTGGTCGAAGGCCAGAAAGTAAAGGTCAAAATTATAAAAAGAACAAGTACACATTATGAAGATTAATTTCTCAAAGCTACAGATCAAAATGTAAAGGATAATTGACATATTCATTAACACTTTTTATTGATGTCATATCTTTAATATTTTAAACCTAAATGTTAACTTAAAAACTTTCATCAAAGGTGAAATTTAAAGGTCAAGATCATCCTTATAAGCATTATGCAGAAGTTTTGTGACTTTGACAATTTTAAGTTATAAATATTGCTATGAATTATGAATTTGATTCTTTTAAAAGGTATTTGTGAAAATTTGTCTTTAGATACATATGTATTTATTGATTTAGGGAAGTCACAGTGTGCCTAAAATATTCATTCATTGCTTCTTTAATTGTAGACATGTTGAACCAGACAGATAGTTCCAGTCCATCCAAGTTATTGTTACGGCCATCACCTCTTTCTTTCTGTGTTCAGAATTTGAAACAAAAGGGTACTTGGCATATAAAGTTGTTCTAGTTAATCATTATAATTGTGAACAAGAAATGAAATTGAAATTTTTCAACATTTTATTGTAATTCATAAATTTTGTGATGGAAAAACGAATGACAGAATTAACTGAAGATGCATTAAAACAATTTTACAAATACCAAATAATGAAATATTTACATGTAATTTCAAATTCAATAAATTTATTCATCTAAATTTCTGAAAATATAATTAGGTTGTTTTGATAGAAATATATATTAGATATATTTATTACTGTTTTGATTTGCAAGAGTGCGATGTTAAAGATAAAGAAAAAGAAAATCAAGAGAAATCTGGCAGTGATGATGTGCCCAGTGAAGTCTGTAAGGTCTCCAGTGATTCAGGAGTAAAACGTGATGTGGAAAAGAAAAAAGACAATGACAAAGAGACTAATCCTTTATGTGACTCTAGTGCTACAAATGATACCACACAGGAAAATTATTTTGCTGCTGCTCTTGCCAAATCAGACGGGTAATTATCAGAGCTGTCATTTGATTAATAAGAAGTATATGGGTATCATTAGTTTTCTTGACTTGTGAAAGTTCTCTTGGTATCTTAGATGCCTCTAAGTGTTGTTGATTAGTTGGTATATATTTAATTATGCCTGTTTGATGAAGGGAAACACTCTTTCTGCCACTGTGACAGTCTTTCTGCCACAAAAATATTAACCTTGGTCATAACTTTTGAATGAGAAAAGATAGGGCTGTCATATTTCACATGTATATTACATGTACCTGTGACAAGACCTTTTCAAATGCACTATGAGTTTTGACCATGACCTTGAAGTCTTGACTTCCTTTTCAGAAATTTTAACAATGGTGATAACTTTTGAATTAAAAAGATAGGGTGTTTATTTTTCAGATGTGCATTATCTGTGACAAGACCTTTCTGAATGGGCTATGATTTTGATGTTAAGACTTTCATCTTTTTTAACATTATTAATAACTTCCAAGTGAGAGAAGATAGGACTTTTATATTTTATATACTGGTATTTTTGACCTCATGACCTTGACCTACTTAATAAATATTTTAAATTTGACCATAACTTTTGTACCAGAAGAAGCAGGACTTTCATATTTTTTTTCACATGTGCATTACTTGCAAAAAGACTTGTTTTATGATATTTGACCTCATGACCTTGATCCTAAAGTTTGAGTCAGTTTTCAGAAACTTTAATCTTGGTTGTAACTTTTATAAATTTTAATTTTTTTTGTATGATGGACAGACAAGACAGGACACACAGACAATTACAATGTGTCGTAAATAATTGCATCCCACGAAAATAAGACCCAGAAAGCAGGGGACCATAATTCTTGGAATTTGCTTGTTTATCTTAAAATATACTTGTCAATCAATTTTCAGCCATGAAATCTTTTGTATGTTACAGAAAAGAATCAGAATCATCGTCCAAAACAGATGAAAAATCAGGACAGTTCATATTTGGTCAAAATTTAGATGAGCGTGTTACCGTAAGTCCATAGATTTCATTTCTGAAGTTTTACAATGAAGCCTCCAAAATTTAAATTTTCATTCTTTTAAAGGATATGAATCCTCTATAGGTTTTATTATTATATACATTTATATACAGGGTGTTGCAAAATCTCCTAATGAGAAAACTGAAGAAGGTTTTGTGTTTGGTCAGAACTTAGAGGAGAGAGTGATCAAAACAGATCCGTCTTCTGGTGAACAAGAAGAAACTGAACCAAGCAGAGATTGTCTCTCTCCTTCAGGTAAATATACTGTATCAGACTTGTTCATCCATATCAACTATATATACAGATATAATTGTGTTAAATGATGATAAATTATGTTTAAGTTTACATTTTTCAGTTTTTGTGCATTGTACAATCAAGTTTGATTAGGAATATGTTATTTTGCTAAGTCTTGGCATTAACCACGCCAAAGCAGTTATGTGAACGAGAAAAAAAAAATTTCTTATCACTATCAGAAACCATGTGCAAGAATTTTTTTAGGTCACCTGAGTTCACTCAGGTGACCTATTGCTATCTGTTTTCGTCTGTCGTTGTGCGTTGTGCTTTAACATTTGAACATATTCAGCTTCCTCTCTGAAACCACTCTACCAATTTCAACCAATTTTGGCATAGAGCATCTATGAGTGAGGGGGAACAAAAATTGTGAATTTCATGGTCCCTACCCCCCTGGGGCCTGAGGGGTAGGGCCAAAACAATTAAAATTAATGCAATCTTTAAAAATCTTCTTCTTTACTCCTGGACATCAAGCAGTCAAAGTGTAGGCATGATTGTAATAAGCATTGAGCCCTCTACCAAAATTGTAAAATTTATGGCCCGAGAGATCAGGGGTTCTGGTGCTAGGGCGGGGCTCTACTGATTATAAAGTGAAAATGCATTAATTCTTCGAAATCTTTTCCTCTGCTCCTGGGTATTAAGCAAACATTCAGTATGCATAGTTATGATGAGGAAAGGTGCCTCTTCTAAAATTGTGAATTTCATGGCCCCTGGGTCAGGGGTTCTGGTGTTACGACGGGGCTCTAATGATTATTTAGTGAAAATGCATTAATTCTTTGAAAATCCTCTCCTCTGCTCCTGGGCATTAAGCCGATAAACTAAGTACATAATTATGATGAGGAAGAGTGCCTCTTCCAAAATTTTGAATTTCATGGCCCCTGGGTAAGGGGTTCTGGTGTTACGACGGGGCTCTTATGATTATGTAGTGAAAATGCATTAATTCTTCAAAAATCTTCTCTGCTCCTGGGTATTAATTTGATGAACTAAGTACATAGTTATGATGAGGAAGAGTGCCTTTTTTAAAATTGTGAATTTCATGGTCCCAGCAGGGCTCGACATTAACTTTTTTTCCTACTTTCCATTCGGACAAGTGACCAAGACATTTACTTGTCCGAACTTCAACTTCACTTGTCTGAAAAATTTTCAATAAAGATCTAATACTTTGAACTGAAAAACTAAAAATAAAGTACATTACATGTACATGATGTTATTTACAAATACAACGAACACATAAAACAAAATTTTATCTAGACTTTCTGTCCTGACAACATAAATGCTGTCAACATAAAACAGACTCCGAACTTCGTCAGTTTGATGCCTTTGCAGTAGTATGCAATTAGTGAACTTCAATCCCGATCGAGTGTACTCAATTACATATTAGCAATCTATACCGGGATCGAAGTTCGGTTTTTATGTACTGTTTCTGTCTTAAAGTACCGGTAAACTTTTAACAGTCATTCTTTTAAATATTTAGAGTCTTCTTTACATAAAAATGCACTTGTCCAATCGGACAAGTGCCCAGCAATATTCAATTGTCCGTATTTTTTTTTCACTTGTGCCGGACAAGCGTTAATGTCGAGCCCTGCCCAGGGTCAGGGGTTCTGGTGTTAAGGTGGGGCTCTAATGGTTATATAGTTAAAATGCATTAATGATTTAAAAATCTTCTCCTCTGCTCCTTGGTATTAAGCAAACAAACAATATGCATAATTATGATAAGGAAAGGTGCCTCTTCTAAAATTGTGAATTTCATGGCCTTTGGGTCAGGGATTCTGGTGTTGGGGTGGGGCTCTAATGATTATATGGTGAAAATGCATTAATTCTTCAAAAATCTTCTCCTCTGCTCCTGGGTATATAAGCCAATGAACTACTATAGATTCCTTATTTTTCGCGAGTACTTATTATCGCGAAATGGCTCTTGAACATCAAATCTTGATAACAATAATTTGCGAGTGGGCTATTGATCATGATATTTAACATGGATTTCATCACCATAAAAATAAGAGTGAGTAATTTATTTCGCGAGTGGTGCTTCTCGTGAAATTACATGATAATTAATTCCTTGTGTATATTTAGGAATCTACAGTAAGTACATAGTTATGATGAAGAAGAGTGCCTCTTCCAAAATTGTGAATTTCATTGCCCCTGGTGTTAGGGTGGGACTCTATTGATTATATAGTGAAAATGCATTAATTCTTCAAAAATCTTCTCTGCTCTTGGGTATTAAGACGATGAATTCAGTACATAGTTATGATGAGGAAGAGTGCCTCTTCCAAAATTGTGAATTTCATGGCCCCAGGGTCAGGGGTTCTGGTGTTATGAGAATACAAGAAATAATGTTATAATTATATATATAGAAACTAAATAAAAATGAATGTTAAATGAATGGTTTAAATGAGCAAAGCATGCTCAAAGTCACATTCTTGCCTGGAAAGCAATATAAAAGATTGATATAAAGATTATTTATATATTTAGCAAATTTTAAATTGTTCACAGTATGTTTACACTGAGGTGATCTGTTTGACAGTGCATAAGTTATTAATAGGTAAAATCAAGATTGACAAGAGACAGGATAAAGTTGTTTTATACATTATCAAAGTGAACAAAGAATCACAGAGAGCTAGGGTGACTTGAAATTAGTGACAAGTGGCAAATAGAAATGTTATACAATGTATAGCCAAGTCACTGTGTACTGAATTGTAGCACTAGGCAAGTGACACATATTGAATACCTTACACAGTGGGCAAGTGTTCATTCTATTTGTATATTTTGCATTCATTATCATCTCTCTAAGGCTTGGGAAAACCAAGTTTGATCCCATTGGCAGGGAGATCACTTGGGTCTAGCAGGCTACAATATGCAAGGGTATTTTTACCAGATTTTTGAAATTCTCGGGCATCATTGCTTCGTCTATCAGTTAATTTTGTTTTATACTTCTATGGATCCTTTACAGTGTTGTATTATACTCAGGTGACCATTACAGGGTTCGACACTAACGTTAGTCCGTTAGTCTCAGACTAATACATTTTCATTCTGACTAATAAAATATGTGGCTAATTAGTCCGAACGGACCAATAAAAATTTCTGAAAAACAGTGTGAATAAATTACCAATGTCCGATTCTCGACAACTTTTACTGGAAAACCCCGTGTGTATTTTTAGATTTCTAGCTTTGGGCGGGTAGTTACGCAATGCCGGGTCAATTCAGCGCTTAATTTTTCGACTGATCGATATGAAGTATAAGGTTTTAGCGATCGTGATTTAGTATGACACCACTAAGAAAGATGTTGGACGTTTTGGATGTAATGTAAAGACAAAAAAAAAAAAGAAAAAAAAAAAAAGAAAAACGAGATTGGAAATACGATCGTACTTGCTGATTGCGAGATTTCAATGAATCTGTGGAATAATATATTTTCACGTAAATACTTTGTTTATTTCAAAAAATAAATGTATATTAATTGTTACATTAATTAGTGTTAAAAAACATTGATGTTTCTTTTTTTTTTGACGGACTAATGAAATCGCGTGCGGACTAGTAAAAGTAATGAAGCACTAGTCCGGCTGGACTAAAGCCTTAAAAAGTTAGTGTCGAACCCTGCATTAAGGCCCTTAAGCTCTTGTTTTGAATAGTGGTACCCTATATATAAATGTACAAGTACCTCTGGATTGGAAGAATATCAAATTAGTTATTGCATGACCATGATATTAAAAATAATCATGATCTTGGCTTAGGTTAAACTTTCAAGGTCAATATATAGTGATTGGAATTGACTTTCCTCATATTTTGCACTTGGTGCCAGACATGTGTTGGAAAACCAAGGGGAAAAAATGTGATTAATGCTACTTGACAAAATTTTGTTTTTACTGAAGATAACTGATTCCAACCAAAATAAAATACCAGTCTCTATTACAGGTTTGTATATGCTTCTGCTGCCAAATTCAGGGTGTTACACATGTGCTTAAAAACCAGAAAAAAAATGTTGGCATAATTTTACTAAAGAGAATTTTAAAACCTATCCACAAACAAGGTCTTTATCAAGTTGCCATTGGGATAATTTGGACTCAAGTTCATTGTAGAAATTTAGAAAAGAAACAACAAGATGAAAAAGTGTCCATTGGTTATCCCAATCATGATACATGTATGCTACTACTTTGCTTTCAAATATTTGATGTTTAATTTTATCATTTTGTTATGACATAAATAGTGAATTAGGATCTTGAAAGTGATGTAGTTAGGATCACATTTTGTTATGATCCAATCTAATATGATAAAAGGTATTGCTCATATAAGCAGTAATCAAACAGTGCACTCTGTAGATAAAAGCCTTACATTGGAGGAATCAGCCCGTGAATTCCAAGCAAGAAAAGAGAAACATGTTGATTACAAGGAGGTGGATGTTGTAACAGGGGAGGAGGGGGAGTCCAATGTTTTACAGGTATGTAGCACTAATCATGCAGGTAATTTGACAGGGGGTGAGGAGAAGAGGTTCAATTATTTATTGGTAAAACTAACATTTATCATATTTGTGCCTTAAGCATGAAATATTTTCATATCTTACCTGGAACGACAAATTTGATATGGTCAAGACATTGATTAATTATAGTTTGTGAAATGCGTCAAAACTCTGATTCGAATTTTGTGGCATAGTACATGCTAAATATCAATACATACATGTATTATTATACTGATTATCCTATGACTGCAAGGACTAGACCAACTTATTTTTATCATAAATTCCCAATATTGATATAACAGATTACAGAGTGAATTTGTATATGATTCAATATTTACATTTGCTGTGTTTTTCTACTATGCCAACTTTGAAATTGATTTGAATGCCATTTTCTGTATATACTCACACAAAGAAATATACAGGGAGAAACTCACCCTAAAGTGACATTACAATGAGGCTACGGAGACGTTAATAAAAATGTAACGATATAGGGCAGCGAGGAATTCAAACATTGAGTAAATTTTTGGAGCTTTTAAACATGTAAAATGTAAATATAATGAATGTTTTAAAGTTTAGTATGAATTATTGGTGTGTAAATCACACAGACTTGCACGTAGGCTTATTAGCTCTACTGGTCAGAGACCAGAAGAGCTTATGCGATAGTAATGTGTCCGTCGTCAGTCCGTCTGTCTGTCTGTCTGTCTGTCTGTCCGTCTGTCTGTAAACAATTTTTAAAAATGCTACTCCTCCTACAGTTTTGGTCTGATTTCAATATAACTTGGCACACAAGTAGACTACACTAAGATACATAATTCTGTGTATCGGTTTTTGATTTCGATGAACGGTGTTGCCATGGTTACTAAAAATAGAAATTTCTGTGAAAAACATTCAAAATGCTACTCCTCCTACAGTTTTGATCTGATTTTAGTATAACTTGGCACACAAGTAGACTACACTAAGATACATAATTCTGTGTATCGGTTTTTGATTTCGATGAACGGTATTGCCATGGTTACTAAAAATAGAAATTTCTGTGAAAAACATTCAAAATGCTACTCCTCCTACAGTTTTTATCTGATTTTAGTATAACTTGGCACACAAGTAGACTATACTAAGATGCATAATTCTGTGTATCGGTTTTTTATTTCGATGAACGGTTTTGCCATGGTTACTAAAAATAGAAATTTCTGTGAAAAACATTCAAAATGCTACTCCTCCTACAGTTTTGATCTGATTTCAATATAACTTGGCACACAAGTAGACTATACAAAGATGCATAATTCTGTGTATCGGTTTTTGATTTCGATGAACGGTGTTGCCATGGTTACTAAAAATAGAAATTTCTGTGAAAAAAATTCAAAATGCTACTCCTCCTACAGTTTTGGTCTGATTTCAATATAACTTGGCACACAAGTAGACTACACTAAGATACATAATTCTGTATTTTGGTTTTTGATTTCAATGAACGATGTTGCCATGGTAACTAAAAATAGAAATTTCTGTGAAATACTTTCAAAATGCTACTCCTCTTACAGTTTTGGTCTGATTTCAATATAACTTGGCAAACAAGTAGACTACACTAAGATACATTATTCTGTATATCGGTTTTTGATTTCGATGAACATTGTTGCCATGGTTACTAAAAATAGAAATTTCTGTGAAAAACATTCAAAATGCTACTCCTCCTACAGTTTTGATCTGATTTCAATATAACTAATGGCACACAAGTAGACTATACAAAGATGCATAATTCTATATATCGGTTTTTGATTTCGATGAACGGTGTTGCCATGGTTACTAAAAATAGAAATTTCTGAGAAAATCATTCAAAATGCTACTCCTCCTACAGTTTTGGTCTGATTTCAATATAACTTGGCACACAAGTAGACTACACTAAGATACATAATTCTATGTATCGGTTTTTGATTTCGATGAACGGTGTTGCCATGGTTACTAAAAATAGAAATTTCCTTGAAATACCTTCAAAATGCTACCCCTACAGTTTTGGTCTGATTTTAGTGTTACTTAGCATACAAGTAAACTACACTAAGATACATAATTCTCTGTACCATTTTCGGATTTTGATGAATGGTGTTGCCATGGTTACTAAAAATAGAAATTTTCTTGAAATACTTTCAAAACGCTACTCCTCCTACACTTTTTGTCTGATTTCAGAATAATGTGACATACAAGTAGACTACAGAGATACATAATTGGTGTTATTGTTTTTTGATTTTGTTGAATGATGTTGCCATGGTTACTTAAATCAAAATTTCAGTAAAATTGTTTTTAAAGGCTACTCCTCCTACAGTTTTAGTCTGATATAATAATAAATCTTGCCAAAAAGAGACTAAACCAAGGATCATTATTCTATTTATTGCTGTTGCAAAGTTTCAAGTCCAAGTGCTACTTTTATCTTCCTTTATAAATACAACCAGTAGAGCTACAGTCTCATCAGAGACTTCTGGTTTTTCATGAAGCGCTAGCACGCTATGCTTACGTGACAAGTCTGTGTGATTTATACACCAATAACTCACACAAAACTTAAAAACATTCCTTAATTGTTGTAGATATTGTGTGCTTACCTAAAACATGCAATCATAGAATGTACCTGTAAAAGACCACTGTAATATTTCATGGAAATCATCAGTGGATGCCTTGTACTATTTAAGTGTTGTACCTTTATATTACATATATATTAAAAACCTTTGTGTACAGAAATTAAAAGAAGCACAATATAGTAAAGACTAATAAAAACTAGTAAAAACCAGTAAAAACTAATCTGACACCTGTGCAGTCCATTTCACTGAGATTATTTTTCGTATTTCAAGAAAATCTCTTTTTCTATCAATTTTATTTTAATTTTAAATAAGCATAGTAAAATTAAAGTCATATACAATAAGATACATCTTGAACTTTCAAAAGAGAAGGAGAACAGTATCAGCATATTATTATCTATGCAGCTTTGTAAATTAAATGTTCCGTTTTTCAAGTGCTGTGTTTCAGCAATAAATATTTTAAACTGGTAATTTTCTAAGGTCACCAGAGTACCGGTAACCCAGGTGACTTATTGCTATCTGTTCTGTCCATTGTCTGTTGCGTGTTAACATTTGAACATTTTCAGCTTTTTCTGTGGAAGCGCAGAACCATTTTAAACCAATTTTTAGCTCACCTGAACCAAAGGCTCAAGTGAGCTATTATAGAAAAAATCTTTAAACAAATCTTTTTCCCTCAAATAGCAAAGTCATAATTCGTCATATTTATATGGAGGCATCCTCAGCTAAGGTAGATTCAAATTTTTTCAAATTATGCCCCCTGGAGGTAGGGTAGGGCCACAGGTTTATTATACCTATTCCCACTTTTTGAAAATCATGTAGGAAAAGGTAAGATTTTATGTGGGAATAGGTGGAATTTTTGTGTAAACAAATAATTAACAGTCTAAACATATAATTACTTTAAAAACAGTGATTATTTAACACCTATTGGAATAGAGGACAGGTAAATTGGCTTTTTTAAATTATAAATCAGACTTTGCTTATATTTGAAAGAAAAATTGGAGATTTTTAAGTGAATTAAATCATTTTTTTCTGATAATCTATTTATTCTATTTTCTAAAATTCAGCTAATTTAATGCATTTTTTTCATAAATTTATTTTATATTCAAAAATCAAGATATTAAAGTGTTTTTTAAATACATTTTTTTTTTATTTTCTAAAATCCATATATTTAATTGAAATCATTTTTTCATAAATCTATTTATTTTCTGTCTTAAAATGTACAAAATAAAAGGTAAATCTTAGATGGGATGTAATCTGATTACAATAAAAACAAAGTAACTAGTATCTAAATATCTATTGTTATTTGGAAGTGGGAATAGATGGAATTGAGATTTTTAAAAAGTGGGAATAGGTAGAAGACATCTGGCCACAATGGCCAATCAAAGTTTTACATAGAAAAAAAACCATAGCAAAAATCTTTAAAAATCTTTTTCTCAAGATAAGTAAAGTCCATCTTCGCTAGCCAAGGGTTTCTGATACACTACTCTCCTCATAAACCCTTGGCATACGGTGCTGACAAAAGACGGGATTGTTTTTGTCACGTGATCATGATTCTTACCAGGTACGCACAGATTGCGTCATCGACAGAAATGAAAAGCGTATTTAAAAAAATTTTGTTTTTAAAGAATAATTAACAAGAAGGTATTGAGTTATGTTAATTTGTTATTTAAACATGTAAAAATGCAAATCTACATCTTCAGTACAGATTCTTAATCACATATTTTGCACGTAGCTTTAGATATTGGATGGCACCATATAGCTATTCATAGAATGGCATGTTATCTTACGGATCATTGTTTACTTGCATTTTACATTACCGATATTAAAGAGTCAAGATATATCCTGAACGCAAATATCGTCATTTACAAAAAACAATTGCTGATTGGTCGAAGGATGTCGATCAACTCCAATCACAACTTGAGAAAAAAATCCCAACTTTTTTTAACATCATATGCCAAGGGCTTATGAGGAGAGTAGCGTATCAGAAACCCTTGGCTAGCGAAGATGAGTAAAATCATGATCTGTCAAATTTATTAGGAAGAATCCACAGGAAGTGCACATTCAGATTTGTTCAAATCATGCCCCTTTGGGATAGAGTGGGGCAACAATAGGCATTAGGAGTTTTACATAGAAATACATAAGAAAAATCTTTTTCTGAAGAACAGCAAAGCCATGATAAGTCATATTTATATGGAAGCATCCTCAGGTAGTGTAGATTCAAGTTTATTCAAATCATAACCCCTGGGGGTAGGGTAAGGCTACAAAGGGGGATCACAATTTTACATAGGAATATATATGAAAAAGAATCTATTGATGAAGAACATTAAGTCCATAGTTACTCAGGTGAGCTATGTGACCCAGGGCTTCTTGTTGAAAGTGTCCTTTTAATGTAGCTGCTGACGATGAACTTTCAAGGAAAACAATTATTGATGTGCAAAGCATTAATTATGTGTTGCTAAGATATTTTCAATATCTAGTACCCTGTGTAGGGAAAATTTTTAGGGAGTGGGCGTAGAAATTATACCTACAAATAGTTATCATTTTTAATTAAAATGTCTTCCAGTAAAATGTCATGAAGAGTTATTGTCTTAATCAAAAAACTTATTAAGTTCTATGAAACGTGATGCATTAATAATTTAACTTAAGCTGATATAATATGTCAATGTCAAAAGAAGACTTAATTTATTACTTATATAAATAGGAAAACAACCTTTTAAAAATATTGCAATTGACAGTTCACAATGAATAATTTTTGTGAAATACTTGCTTATAGGCTACTGCCAAGCTTTTTGTGTTTGAATCCCATGGTCAGAATTGGGTGGAGCGTGGCAGAGGACTGCTGAGGTTGAATGATCTGATAACACCATCACCGACAGAGTTCCAGTCTAGACTAGGTAGGAGACATAACGTCAATAATGGGGGAGACATCTAGGTCATAGCAGCTACATGATTCCTTCATAAAGCTATGATCTATAACTTTTCCAATTTTAAGATGAATTTAAGTTCAATTTTTTTTAATGTTTTTTTTACACAATATATGTAACAAACTACGGTATCTCAAACACTGATATCTCAAATACCATGGATATGTCAAAGTGATTTGGAAGTCCCAACCACTTATTCTTTAGTATTTTACCCTCATTATCTTGAATCCTCAGATAACTCAGAAGTTTTTTTCTCAGTCCCATTGAGTTCAAGTATCAAGGCTTGCTTGTATGTTTGATTTTTTTATACATACTGCAAGGTTTTAAACTAACTTGTAATCCTTGATAGCCATGTGGGCTACTGAACCTTGCAATTCTGGGGCCCACATCAAAATTTATTCGCCCACAGATTATCACACCTTCTATTGAATATAAAAACAACAACCCCATTTTTCGTTTTCTTTTATCATGTGATTCGTGTTTTTTTTCTATCCGTTGTAACATTATGCACGACTTATCTAAATTTGAAGCGGGACTCTTCTGTTTATGAAGATTGATATAATCATTCAATATCATATAGAACACTCAAGAGAAAAGTACAAAACATTTGGACAAAATTGAAAAACAAATATTTATTATCGTAAATTTTCTAATCGCCATGTGGGCAACTTGAACGTAATTTTAAGTTGCCCACATGGAACATTAGTTGCAAATTGTGAGTGGGCGACTGTTAATTTCAAACCCTGTATCATAGCAATCACATAAAATCAAATAAAGTATGTTACTGGCTCCTGTGTATATTTAGGTCAAATGATTCATTCAGGTGACTTATTAGTACTGCAGTTTATTTTCGTCCACCATTGTGCATTGTCCGTCAGTCATAATCTTTCAAAAATTTTAAGTTTTTCTTGTACAACTGAACCAATTTTGGAATATACCATCTATGGGTTAAGGGGAATGAAAACTGAAGTTCGTGGTCTCTGTCTCCATGGGGCTTGAGGGTTGGGTCCAAAACCATCAAAATTCACACAATCTCCAAAAATTACTACTTACTCATGGACATTCAGCAGGATTGTTTGCATATTTATAATAAGCCATAAACCTTTTACCAAAATTGTGAAATTCATGACCCCTTGGCCCAAAGGTTCAAGCTCAAGAGCGTGGTTCAAATGTTGAAAATTCATAATACTAGTATCTTATAAAATCTTAATATACAAATATAGCCTTTGATGAAGTCAATTCTTAGATATAGACCTTAAAGAAAGCATATCGACCGAGTATGAAGTGCAAGGTCAATATGCTTTCTCTAAGGTCTATGTGTCTAGGGATTGTACAGAATCAAAAGGCTATATTTGTTTAACTTATTTTTATACCCCACGCAATGAGTTGCGTGAGGTATAATGTTTTTGACCCGTCCGTCAGTCAGTCAGTCAGTCAGTGTGTCAGTCAGTCAGTCCGTCAGTCCTGTTTTTTTGTCAGTGCAACTCCTCATAAACAGCTGCACAGAATTTCGTCAAATTTTGCAGAGATTTAGGACACAATGTGTAGATGTGCATATTACCAGGAAATTCCAATTCCTTTATTTTTTCTGGGAATTTCAGCACTTTTCAACTTAAGATTTTTGGTCATATCTTGAATATAGAGATGAACAGTTTGTCAGCGCAACTCCTCTTAAATCACTGCACAGAATTTGGTCAAACTTTGCAGAGATTTAGGACACAATGTGTAGATGTGCATATTACCAGGAAATTCCGATTCCATTATTTTTCTGGGAATTTCGGCACTTTTCATCTTAGATTTTTGGCCATATCTTGAATATAGAGATGAACAGTTTGTCAGCGCAACTCCTCTTAAACCACTGCACAGAATTTGGTCATACTTTGCAGAGATTTAGTACACAATGTGTAGATGTGCATATTACCAGGAAATTCCGATTCCTTTATTTTTCTGGGAATTTCGGCACTTTTCAACTTAGATTTTTGGCCATATCTTGAATATAGAGATGAACAGTTTGTCAGCGCAACTCTTCTTAAACCGCTGCACAGAATTTGGTCAAACTTTGCAGATATTTAGTACACAATGTGTAGATGTGCATATTACCAGGAAATTCCGATTCCATTATTTTTCTGGGAATTTCGGCACTTTTCAACTTAGATTTTTGGCCGTATCTTGAATATAGAGATGAACAGTTTGTCAGCGCAACTCCTCTTAAACCGCTGCACAGAATTTGATTAAACTTTGCAGATATTTATGACACATTGTTTAGATGTGCATATTACCAGGAATTTCTGATTTCATTATTTTTGCCTTAAGAGTTTTGCCTATTATTGGAGAAACTTTCCAGCTAGGTAATAAGGAAATCCACTGAAATCAGCTTTTGTAATGAAATTTTATGTGAAATATTTTATGACCTTAAAAGACCCCAAAATATTAATGATTTAACACACACACAAAATTTTGGACAGTTCACCCCCCCCCCCCCCCTTCCCCCCTTCAAATTGGTGCTTTGCCTTAAATAATTTCATAAGTACAGTATATAAACAAATTCATATGACTACTCATAATTTTGTTTCCATCAATTATTTAAATGTGTAATTTGTCATGTGTTGGACATGGACTTACACTCATTAACAAATTGAAATCACTGAGGAATTTAAATAAGAGTTTGTCAGCATAACTCCTGCACTGAATTTCCTGAAACTTTGTAGGTATTTCAGACATAATGTATAGATTTGTATATTACCAAGAAATTTTTATTCCATTATTTATCTAGAAACTTCAGCTCAATTAAATTTGTAACATACAAAGATTTGAATGTCCTTATATGCAAGAAGTTTTGATGTGATGATTTTTTGCAAGTAAAGCCCCTTTTTGAATTATACTGTGTTTTTAAAATGCACTGTGCCATTCATTACATGTTGCATTGTTGAGTTTTGGGGGAGCATGGGGTATGTGAGCTTGCTCACTTTTTCTTTCATTTAATATCAGTTAATGAGGAATGTCTTAAAAATCCATGTTTGTAATGCTCATATTGGAGCTGAAGATTTTTTTTTAGAAACGTTCATTTGTTATCTACTATTGTGACATCATCACTATTGTTGCTGGTGGGCCAATTTCAACCAATCTTGGATAAAGGGGATTCAAATTTGTTCAAATGAAGGGCTGCACACTCTTCCAAGTGGAGATAATTAAGTAATTGTGAAAATTGGGTGGGGTCATTTAAAAAATCTTCTCAAGATCCACTGGGCCAGAAAAGACGAAACTTATGTGAAAGCTTCCTGACATGGATTCAGATTTGTTCAAACCATAATCCCTGTGGGTAAGGAGGGGCCACTATGGACAATCAAAGTTTTACATGGGAAAAATCAAGAAAAGTAAAGCCATGGTTAGTCACATTCATTTGAAAGCTTCCACAGGTAATGTAGATTCAAATTTGTTCAAATCGTGCCCCCGGGGGTAAGGTGGGGCCACTATTGGCGATGAAAGTTTTACATGGGGATACATAGAAAAAATCTTTAAAAATCTTCTTCTCATGAAAAGCAAAGCCATAGTAAGTCATATTTATTTGAAAGCATCCACAGGTAGTGTTAGGGATGCGCGATTTTATCGGTATACCGGTATATCGTGATTTTTTTATTGCGTGATGATACGGAGACTAAAATACCGGTATTTGCTACATAATTATTAATTCCAGAACTTACTAATTTATCATGTTTATTTGTTCGAACTATTAAATAGAAATTACAGAAAGTATTAAAAATGTTGAAAAAAGTTAAACAACGGCATCCAAATATGCTTTATTTTACATAAAATAAAAATGGAAAAAGTAAAGTTATATTTTTGTAGTTTTTTTGTAAGAAAAATTATGGAAATTCATTTGAAAATAAAGTAAAAATTCCTGGTAAAAATATCCTGATTTTATCGCGATATTTTGAGAAAAAATCGTGATATATCACAATACGAAATTTGTTGGCGATACCCATCCCTAGGTAGTGTAGATTCAAATTTGTTCAAATCATGACCACAGGGGGTAGGGTGGTCCACGATGGGAAATCAAAGTTTTACATATTAAGAATATTTAGGAAAAATCTTTTTAAAAATTTCTTCTCAAGAGCAGCCATGGTTGCTCATATTTATATGGAAGCATCCTCAGGTCTTGTAACTCAAATTTGTTCAAATCTTGACCTCTGGGGGTTTGGTAGGGCCGCAATAGGCAAGCAACATTTTTTGTAAGAATATATAGGAAAAATCTCAAAAAATCTAAGACGTCTTCTCAAAAAAAGCAAAACCATGATTAGTCATATTTAAATGGTAGCAGATTCAAAGTTCAAATCATGACACCTGGGGTTTGGATGGGGTTACAATATGCGATCTTAATTTTTTGTATGGAAAAAATCTGCTGATAAGAACACAAGGGCTGTAGATGCTCAGGTTAGCATTGTGGCCCATGGGCCTCTTGTTTAGAAGATGAAATAGAAACTCCCAGTAATCATGTAATCTGGTTTGAGCTAATCAGACAGCTAGGAACAATAGAGAAAAGCAATCTTCTTTACTCATGGAATCTAGCAGGCAAGCTATTTGCATTTTTGTAATGAGTACTTACACTTTCTTCCAGAATTGTTAACTTCATGGCCCTTAGTCCATGGCTCAGGCCTTAGAGTAAACTTGTCTGTCCATTCCAGTATATAACTTTGTTATATAGAAACATGAGAGGCTCATGTTTGACATAAAAGTTGGTGATGACCAGAGGAGTGTCTACATCCTGTATTAATGTCAGGAACTCTCAAAGGTTTCTTATGATCAAAGCTATACCACAATCTTAAACATGAAGAAGGAAAGAGAAAAAGAAGTTAATAAAATTAATAAGTACAGGAGAATTCTAAATATTTGTATTTATCTTAAACAGTAATGAGAACCATTGGTAGTCTGAGAGTGATACTGAACACAAAGATTTGGCCGGGCATGACAATAGAAAGAGCTAGTAACAGAAGTGTCAGAATCACAGCCACTGATGGAGGGGAAGGGGTGAAGGTGTTCCTTATCATGGTAAGTCATGATAGAATGTGTTCCTTATCATGGTAAGTCATGATAGAATTCAGAGAGGGAAGGTGTAAGTCATGATAGAATTCAGAGAGGGAAGGTGTTCCTTATCATGGTAAGTCATGATACAATTCAGAGGGGGAAGGTGTAAGTCGTGATAGAATTCAGAGAGGGAAGGTGTTCCTTATCATGGTAAATCATGATAGAATTCAGAGAGGGAAGGTGTAAGTCATGATAGAATTCAGAGAGGGAAGGTGTAAGTCATGATAGAATTCAGAGAGGGAAGGTGTTCCTTATCATGGTAAATCATGATAGAATTCAAAGAGGGAAGGTGTAAGTCATGATAGAATTCAGAGAGGGAAGGTGTAAGTCGTGATAGAATTCAGAAAGGGAAGGTTTAAGTCATAATAGAATTCAGATGAAGGTCATGTTCCTTATCATGGTAAGACCAAGTTATAATAGAATTCAGATGCATTTGAAAGCCTCTCTCTCTTACGTATCAGTAGGATCCTCTCAATCTGTATTAGTCTAGAGGGAAAATGTGAAATTCTAGCAATATTCTAACAGACAAATGATAGAGTTTTTGTTTTAAATAAATTCTTATAAAGAGTTTTAAACAACTTTTGAAAAAAGATAAAATCAAGTAAGTAAGTAAGTCAGATTCTAGTTATAAGGAAGCTATAAATAAATGAACTGTGCATACTAATTTAAACTATTATATACTAGATAAATAATTTATGTTTATAGACCAGCCCCAAGGATTCAGAGAACATCCTTAGAGCAGTAGACTGGAGAATACAACAGCTGCGTGTGCGAGAGGATGTGGATAAACCACAGTCAGAAAAACGCAAAGTTGATCAAGATGAATCCTCAAATGAAGGCACAGCAAAAAAGCCCAGGTAAAAAATTTGTTTCTGAGATAAATTTTGATTAGATTTTAAAATGACTTATGAAAGATGAATTAAAAAATGTTGCATAAAAACTGAAAGTTGATTTACATTATCCCATTCTGTAGATACAGGTAATATATGTACAGGTGTTTGTAATCAAATATACAAGATACTGAAAAAATGAATGTATATGTTTATTTCCTGAAAATTTGAGTGTCCCTATAAAACTAAATTATAATGGTTATTGTATGCATATTTCATTTTTAGAATGAAATAAAACAATGTAGTACACCTACTGTGGAATCATCATTGTTTGTGGGGGACCAGTGTTTATGGATTTACGGCTTTCGTGGGTCACCCCTTACCCATGAATTTACATCCCCATGAACTTTTAATTTGTATACATATTGATTCATTGAATCTGCTGTAACTACTACTATAACCCACAAAATTATGTCCCCTCAAACAAGTAAAATCTTGCTTGCCCACGAACATTGACCCCCATGAATTAAAATGATTGCACAGTATTTATATATGTACATGGTATGTGCTTCATTGTGTTGTAGATCAGAAGAGCATCCTGATGGTTCCTTGGCATCTGGAAGTTTAAAGAGGGAGGAATCAGATGGAAGTGTTATTGGGCCAGAGACAGATGGTATTAATGAACTTTTCAGTGATTTTGGGGGGGAAGGGGGGGGGGCAAAAAAAGTTAGCAATTTTTTTCCCAATTAAAATCAGTTTTTCCCAATTAAAAATTATTTGTACAAAAATTATATCCACTAGTTACAATAACGCAAATAGATAGTGACACTCACTGTAAATTACTTCCACAAAAAGCTACACAGTTCTTTAAGTCCAAATTAACTTAAGGTCTATCAAAAACTTTTAATTTTAATATAGTAACTAGTATTTAAGTCCCTCTCTATGTTAGAATGTTCCACATTGCAAGTATGTGAAAAAGTGATAAAAAAAAAAGACAATGTTGATCTTTTCAAAATAAATTCATTTTTACAAAAGCATCATCAAAAATTGAAGGCATATTTATGTTTGATATTTTTTTTTTCATTTTTATGGCAATTTGGAACAATTTGGAATGCCAGTAATGGGAATTTCTATTTATTTCTTATCTATGTCCCTTATTCTGATAATGTTTAAATTTGTAATATAATGTATCTTTCTTGCCTTTATAGTAGACTGACTATGTGTTCAGGTTTATTAGAACCTTATGAAAATTGGACCAAGCAGGCATACAGCCCCTCACCATAATTTTGATATTTTATTATACTTTTTATTTATTATTCTACTGGCAATTCATTACCAAAGCCCTAACTGTTTGAAATTGTTCCATGTGAGATGCCAATTAAGTCATTTAGGCTTTGGATTTTTACATTGTGAATAATTATAAATGGTTTTTCACAATTTGAAGAAAAATGTCGCTAATTTTTCCAGTAGAAGAGGGTGGTAGTTTAAAAACAACAACAAAAACTATTACTGGGAATTATATCACATACACAAGCAGTAGCAACAAATCACAGTCAAAAAAAAAATTCTGTACATTATTATGATATTTTAATTATTTGAGAAGAGATACACGATTTAGTTACCAGTCCTGAGAATATTAGCTCACCTTATCCAAAGGATCAAGTGAACTTTTCTGATCGAAATTTGTCCGTTGTCTGTCATCGTCATTATTGTTGTCATTGTCGTTGTCATAATTTTTTCACAATTTCATCTTTTTCTCAGTAACCACAGGGCCAATTTCAACCAAACTTGCTACAAAGTATCCTTGGGTAAAGGGGATTCAAGTTTGTTTAAATGAAGGGCCATGCCTTCTTCCAAGGGGAGATAATTATGATTTTGCGAAGGAAAATTAATGGCATCATTTAAAAATCTCAAGAACCACCGTGCTTGAAAGTATGTTACTTGGGGAATCACTGGGAGGTAGTGTAGATTCAAGTTTGTTCAAATCATGACCCCCAGGTGTAGGTAGGGGCCACAATGGGGGATCAAAGTTTTGCATAGGAATACATAGGAAAAATCTTCTTCTCAAGAACAGCAAAACCATGATTGGTCATATTCAAATGGAAGCATCCCCAGGTATTGTAGATTCAAGTTTGTTTGAATCATGACTACTGGGGGTAGGGTGGGGCCACAATGGGCGATTAAAGTTTTACATATGAATAGATAGGGAAAACCTTTAAAAATCTTCTTCTCAAGAACAGCAAAGCCATGTTTGGTCATATTTATATGGAAGCATCCTCAGGTAGTGTAGATTCAAGTTTATTCAAATCATGACCCCCGGGATAGGGTGGGGCTGGATGATCAAATTTTTACATAGGAAAAATCTTTAAAAATCTTCTTCTCAAGAACATAAAAGCCATGATTAGTCATATTTATATGGAAGCATCCTCAGGTAGTGTAGATTCACTTTTGTTCCAATCATAACCCTCGGGGTAGGGTGGGGCCACAATGGGGGATCAAAGTTTTACATAGGAATACATAGGAAAAATCTTTAAAAATCTTCTTTTCGAGAACAGAAAAGTTGTGATTAATCATATTAATATGTTAGCATCTTCAGGTAGTGTAGATTCAAGTTTGTTTAAATCATACCCTCTGGGATAGGGTGGGGCCACAATGGGTGATCAAAGTTTTACATAGGAATACATAGGAAGAAATCTTTAAAAATCTTCTTCTCAAGAACAGCAAAGCCATGATTATTAGACATATTTATATGGAAGCATCCTCAGGTAGTGTAGATTCAAGCTTGTTCAAATCATGACTCCAGGGGGAGGGTTGGGCCAAAATGGGCGATAAAAGTTTTACATAGGAAAAATCTTAAAAAATCTTCACAAGAACAACAAAGGCATGATTGGTCATAATAATATAAAAGCATCCTCAGTTAATGTAGATTTAAATTTGTTCAAATTATGACCCCCCCCCCCCCCCCCCCAGGAAAGTAGAGGGGCCATAACAGGGGATCATATTTATACAAGGGAATAAAGGATATATCAATTAAAATTTTCATCTTATGAACAGCAAAACCATTCAGTGTCATATTAATTCAAAAGCATCCTAAGGAAGTTTAGATTGAAGCTTGTTCAAATCATACATATACCCTCCCCTCAAACACATCTATATTTGAACTTTTCAATACTGAACTGATTTTTCCTATGCTTTTTCCTAGCCAAAGTGCTCAGGTGAGCGATGTGGCCCCTGGGCCTCTTGTTTAATAGCTACCCAAGTTATAATGTATAACCTGGGTTGGAGCAGTTTACGCTTTATAACTGTGATGCGGTTTATAAAAAAGCATCAATTGTTCCAACCCAGGTTATACAAGTATAACTTGGGTAGCTATAAAATTAATTTCTTATAATTTAATTTTCCATCTTTAAGTGAAGAAAATAAGACAATATCTCCTTCAAAAATGCCTTCAAATTGTACGTATTTTAAATGTAACGTCAAGCAGATTAATACATTTTTGATGCAAGTCATTGTGACATAGGCAACACAGGTTATATGATATAAACTAATTTTTTTATACAATCAAAGTTACAACCAAAGTTTATTATTTCTTTAATTGATCTTTTTTCTATTTTTTCAGCCTCTTCAACTAGTTCAACATCATCTTTGACATTGAGATCAGAGTCAGATTGAGAGAAGAAATCACGTTTGACTACAGGGGAAGTAACTATCAATAAGATTTATCACAAAAGTCTGGAGCCTGCTGATATACCATTAATGCTCGACTCTTACTGTGTAAATTAAGGGGAGGCTATCTCATCAATGAACAAGCAAAGAGTTGCCTTAAGAATATGAAACATTTCTCAGAACTTTACCAAAAAAGTCTACATCTTGTCAGTTTTCTAGAAATAAAGATTACATGTAATTTTTGCTTAGGAAACATTTTAGAACCCTTGCTTATGAAATGCATTCTTTATAGGAGAGAAGAAATAGTGGAACAGTACAAATATATTTTTTTCATCAGGATGAAGTAATATTGTACCTCACATCAATGTCTACAGTCCAAACTGTGGATAGATTTTGTTTCAGAATTGGCTACACACCATTGCAGTAATATGCTATATTTTTCATCTTAAGGTGTACATGTACTTGTGGTAAAGTAGTATTTGTTAAAATATTTATGTTCATGAGATTGTTTTCTGATATGGCATGCAGAGTAAATAATTCATATCAGATTAATTCATCTCAACAAAGCTGGCTTCAATGAAGTTTAGGGATGTTTAGAATGTTTAATATCCTTGCACATTTCAGTCTAATATTAACACAATTTAGGGCATGTGCAAATTCATGGAGAGTTCCCAACATGTATTCTATCATGCTTTGAAATAAATAATTTACAAGTGTAATTGTAATAAAAAAAATAGTGGTGTTTTGTCATTGGTGCAAGAAACTGAAAAGTAGATGGGTTTAATGAGAATGGGGAGTACAAGATTACTCCAAGCTGACTGAATGTCAAGAGTTGGCCTACTCTTGGTGGCTTAGGTTAGTAATAGCTGGGACAGGGGCTCTCAATAGGGAGAATGCGTTAGTAACTGTTTGCTGCGTTTCCCCTTCAATGCTGTGGTCACAATATATATATATGGTGTATGAAGTACTGCAGTGGTGGCACGAGCCAATCCATCTGAGAGTCAAATCTATCAACTTTAGGGTGTGTTCTCAGCAATGTTTTGAACAAGATACTAGGGCTCTTGCACCGTATTTAGCTCACCTAAATGAAGGCAGGAGAGTCAATGCTATACTCTTGGTATCCCAGGCTTAAGTTTTTGGAGCAGATTTATTTCCAAGTACATCTATGTCCTATATTGATCAGAGTTGCATGGATTATGCATCTAGTATGTTTCAATGTACCAGTTAGGTTTCAGATGTTCAGCCAATATTTCTAAGAAAAAAGTACCGTTTTAGGAGTGGTTTATGTTAGAAGCAGATCTCATTCCCAAGCAACAATAAGCCCCACCTGGACCATACTTACTTTGACAATGCATCAAGAATGCACAATACCAGAATTGTTTTGGATGCTAGTTCTGACCTACATTTACCAGATGAGTGACGAGGTATACATTTTTATAGAGGATCCAATGTTGCCTAGTTACTAAATGCCCTATGTGACTAAATTTGCATGGTTGATACATCTAAGGATACACACTACCAGACTTGCTTTTGATGTTGGATCTGACCTTCTTTTCTGAATGATTGAAGAGTCTGACATGTGCAAAGTACTACTTACCAGATTATCAAATTGCAGTCTCAAACTTGATTATGTGGTAGTTGTGAACACATATTGAAATTCATTCAAGATGGCCCGCTCTACCCCCAGGGGTCATGACTGGAACAAACTTGAATGTATACTACCTAAGGATACTTTTACAATAATATGACTCATCATGGCTTTGCTGTTCTCTCTCGAAATATTTAAAAGACATTTCTATAGATTCGTATGTAAAACTTTGACCCCCCTCTTTTGGCCCCGCCCTACCCTGGAGGTTATGATATGAACAAACTTGAATCTAGAGTAAGTAATGATACTTTCACATAAGTTTCATCTTTTCTTGCCCAGTGGTTCTTGAGATTTTTTAATGATGCCACCAAATTTTCATGAATTCTTAATAATCTCCCTGAAAGAGGGCATGGCATTTGTGAACAAAACTTAAATCCCCTTCACCCAAGGATGCTTTGTGGCAAGTTTGGTTGAAACTGGCCCTGTGGTTCTGGAGAAAAAGATGAAATTGTGAAAAGATTACAATGACAACGGACAATTGACAAATTTTGATCAGAAATGCTCACTTGAACCTTCGGCTCAGGTGAGCCAAACATGAAAAGAACGAAAATTTCCCTGTATACTGTAACCATCTGCCTTTGGAAGGGCTGCATAACCCTCCTTTGAATACTTTAATATCCTTCATTCAATGACTATTCCAAGTCTGTTTAAAATTGGACTCATGTGGTTCTGGAGAGGTCACAAATATTACCGGTACAAGCTAATTCAGAGAATATGTGTCCCCCACTTAAGGAAAAAAAGAGGGTGGAAGAACTGGAAAAATTTAACAGTTGGAGAAAGGAAAAAAGTCAACCTTTCAGCTTTTGGCCTTAAAGTCGATAGTTTTTTTCAAGTAAAAGAAATTCATGATCAAAAGCTTGCAGAACAAGAGGGCCATGGGCCACAACGCTCACCTGAGTTACTTTGGCCCTGCTGTTCTTCACCAGCTTTCCCCCTTGTAATACATGTAATACCTATTGTGCCCCCACCCTACCCCCGAAGGTCATGATTTGAACAATGTAGAATCTACACTACCCAAGGATGCTTCCACATAAGTTTCAGCACTTCTGGCCTAGTGGTTTTTGAGAAGAAGATTTTTAAAGATTTTTTTCTATATATTTAAATGTAAAAATTGGATTCCCTATTGTTGTCCTGCCCTACCCCCGGGGGTCATGATTTGAACAATTTAGAATCTACACTACCCAAGGATGCTTCCACCTAAGTTTCAGCATTTCTGGCCTAGTGGTTCTTGAGAAGAAGATTTTTAAAGATTTTGCCCTATATATTTCAATGTGAAAATTGGATTTCCTATTTTGGCCCTGCGCTACCTCCGGGGGTCATGATTTGAACAATTTAGAATCTACACTACCCCAGGATGCTTCCACATAAGTTTCAGCTTTTCTGACGTAGTGGTTCTTGAGAAGAAGATTTTCAAGATTTTGCCCTATATATTTCAATGTAAAAATTGGATTCCCTATTGTGGCCCCACCCTACCCCCGGGGGTCATGATTTGAACATTTTAGAATGTACACTACCCCAGGATGCTTCCACATAAGTTTCAGCTTTTCTGGCTCAGTGGTTCTTGAGAAGATTTTTTTTAATGACCCCATCCTATTTTTGTCTTTTCTTGATTATCTCCCCTTGAAAGCCCTTCATTTTAACAATTTAAACTCTCCTTTACCCGAGGATGCTTTGTACCAAGTTTGGTTAAAATTTGCTCAGTGGTTCTTGAGAAGAAGTTGAAAATGTGAAAAGTTTACAGACGGACGGACAGACAGATGGACAACGGACAAAGGGTGATCAGAAAAGCTCACTTGAGCTTTCACCTTAGGTGAGCTTAAAAGTATTCTCTGAAAACTGTATACATAATATAGATTTCTGACCTTGACTTTTGACCTTGACTTCAAAGTCAAAAGGAATCTTCTTCAGGCATAGGGAATTGTGATATATAATTTCATTGCAAAAGCTCAAAGACAAAGATATCCTCTGGAAATGAAACTGTTACACAAAAACAGAATGTATTTATGACCTTGACCTCTGACCTGTTGATCTCAAAATCGATTTGGGTCTTCTTTTTGTCATAGTGTGTTGTGATATTAAAATTAATTGAAGAAAGTTCAAAGAAACTACATGTAAAGTTATCAACTGGAAAATGTTATTTGTAATGTATAAATCTTTAACCTTGACCTTTGGACCTCAAAATCAGTAGGTCTTTTTTAGGCCATAAGGAGTTGTGATATAAAATTTCATTGCAAAAGCTGGAAGACTTTTACAGACAACACAGGGAAACAAAAGTATTACACACAGAATGGATGAATTTATGATCTTGACCTTTGGACCTCAAAATCAATAGGGGTCTCCTTTAGGTCATAGGGAGTTGTGGTATAAAATTTCATTGCAAAGCTCTAAGGGGTGAATTAAAAAAAAATGACCAAACGCATATTTATCAACCCACACTAAAAATACCGGCAATGAAAATAGATTTCTATGTCTCAGCATATGTCTTTAGATAGTGTCTAAATACCTGCCAAATATCTCGTTGATATCTCAATTAACAAAAAAGTTATGCCCAAAAATGATGCTAAAATTGTCAGGAGTGCAACACCTTTTTGTGACATTTTGAAATTTCAATATTTTTTGGAGATCTGTGAAATAAAAAATAATGCTTCATGTTGAAAATAAAGACTTTCCTGATAATATTCAAAGTATTGAGCTTTAAATGTGGACTTTCATAACTTTTGTTTAATCAAGTTGTGGTCATGGCTGATGTTTAAAAAAATGTTATACCATGTCAAGAGTGCAACAGAATAAATGTAGTGTTGCCAAAAAAACATCAATTGTAAAATTCTGATAGAAAATTAAGACAAAAAAGAATTTTGGAGGTGTAAAATAATAACTGATATACATTTTAAAACTTAAAAATGTTATATAAATCACAAGCAGCATTAATGAGAGTCAAGTATATGTGCATACCCAAAAATGTCAGGAGTGCAACATTTGATGTTTTGCTCCCAAGCATGAAAAAACTATTATCATTATATGATTTTCTGGTTTTTATTTTGGAAAATAAAGACACAAAGAACATTTTTACCAAATAGATTTATCAATTACAGGATCTGTCTGTGCTTCAGATCCATATTTCTATGGTCAGGAGTGCAACACATTTTTTTTAAAGATTCAAGTTGTGTGATGAAAAGACTTCTATTCATGCTTAGAAGTATTCATTAATTAATAATGATCTTTTTGTATAATTTAATGCTAAATTATTGACAGTTTATTATTAAAATCCTTCCTTTTTCAATTTTATCAATTCAGATGTGTTTTTATCTTTTTGTGATTTTTTTAATGAATGTTAAAAATAAACACACTAAAACATTGTCATAAGATTCAAGTAATTCCTCCTCAACTTCACTGAAACAACAGAACAAGTTCTTATGTAATTTTCACTTCACAATTCTACTTTAAAGGCCCCAATGCTTTAGGTCAGGAGTGCAACAAATATGTTAGAATTATAAATCATCCAATAAGAATAAAAATAAAGAAAAAAATGATGAGTAGAATTTTTCTGGTGGGTTACTGTGTTTGTCTTCTAAGGGAAAATATGCTTAAAAATATATTTTATCTTCTAAATATACATTTAAGCTAGTTTTTTGGCATAAAATAGGGCATAATTCAGATAAAATGCGATTTTAAATACTTTCATCTGTTTTAATTATGAAGTATTGGACTATAAGTATTGCACAATTTCATTACAACTTGATGTTGCCAACACTTTATGAATTTTCGTGTTCTCTGGTTTTAATTTTAAACTTCACTGCAGTCAGGAGTGCAACAAAACTGCTTCATAATTACCAATGCTTTTTAACTATCTTTACTAAAACATAAGTTGAGAAAAAATGCTTGATACTATTTGATGTTCAAAACACTATGTCTATCAACAAATTACAGAAATTTTACAGTCAATTTGGGGAATAGTTTTCATCATTTCACATATATTTTAAATACAATTTATATATATTACACTTTGCAGATAATCATGTTTTAAGGTCTTCAAAATATGAAAAACCTGCTGTAAACGATGAAAAATATCAACACGACAAATTGATTCCCAAAGTAAGAATGGGTCATTGTGTGTTATAATTTTTAAAACAATGCTAAATAAAATACATATCAGATGTCAGGAGTGCAACACAATAATGTAACATAGGGTCACTTCAAAATCTAGTACTTTTTGTAAGAGAACACGTATATAACAATTCTTTTTTGGCTTAGATTTAAAGAACTGACTTGAACGGACAAAAAAGTGAATTTTGGGGAATTTTATTGCTTCATATTTTTTTCATTTTAAAACTTTTCAAAACAGAATTGAAAAAATAATGTAAAATAACAATCAAAAAACCAATTTTTTGTCACATGTACAAGAGAAGATACTCATTCAAGGTCTAGATTTAATCATTTATACCCCTTTTACCATTTTGAAGCATAAAAAACTATAATTTCTTGTGATTATATATTTTAGAAAGTCTTTTAAGGTGTAATGATATTTTCTTTTTTCAAAAGAAATTTTACTAATAATAATTCTGAAACTTTTTAATCCAATTGTCTATTCTACTGCCACTTCAGGATTTTGAACTAGAATGAATTTGCAATATGATGATATAAGTGAAAAATATGTTATAAGTAGTTGAATTTTGCCAAAAAAATTCAGTTTGGTGGTCATTTTTTTTTAATTCACCCTAAGGCTTCTTGAGTTATCGTCTGGAAATGAGTGTTACACACAGATAGAATAACAGACCCAAAATAATATTCTCACTTTCAATTAAAAAGGGGGACAAAAAGTTAACAAGGAACTTCATTCAAAACGGCACAAGAATGACCTGATAAAAGAAAGTTACTGCATGTTACTCTCATTCAGAGAACCTTAATGCAAACGAGAATTGTCCAAACTTTTTTTTTCTTATTAACTACTGGTCACTAATAAGTAAAATCTGAAGTTCAACATCAAGAAACTTAAATAATATGAAAATTTCCCCCTTCTAGTTAGCTCACCTGAGCTGAAAGCTCAAGTGAGCTTTTCTGATCATATTTTGTCCATAGTCCGTCTGTCTGTAAACTTTTCACATTTTCGACTTCTTCTCCAGAACCATTTGGCAAATTTCAACCAAACTTGCCACAAAGCATTCTTGGGTAAAGGGGATTCAAGTTTCTTCAAATGAAGGGCTATGCCCTCTTTCAAGGGGAGATAATTAAGAATTAGTGAAAATTTGGTGGTATCTTTTAAAAATCTTCTCAAGAACCACTGGGCTGAAAAACTTGAAACTTATGTGAAATCTTTGTTACATAGTGTAGATTCAAATTTGTTCAAATCATGACTACCTGGGGTAGGGTGGGGCCACAATGGGGGATCAAGGTTTTACATAGGAATATATATGAAAAAATCTTTAAAAATCTTTTCAAGAAGAGGAAAGCCATGATTAGTCATATTGATATGGAAGCATCCCCAAGTATTGTAGATTCAAGTTTGTTCCAAGGCATCCTCCAGTAGTAGGGTGGGGCCATAATGGGGGATCAAAGTTTTACAAAAGAACATATATAGGAAATATCTTTAAAAATCTTCTTCTCAAGAACAACAAAGCCACGATTAGTCATTGATATGGAATCATCCTCAGGTAGTTTAGATTCAAGTTTGTACAAATCATGACCCCAGTGGGTAGGGTTGGGCCATAATGGGGGATCAAAGTTTTACATAGGGATATATAGGAAAAATTTTGAAAAATCTTTTTCTCTAAAACAACAAAGCCACAATTATCATATTGATATGGAAAAACTCAGGAAGTATAAATTCAAGTTTGTTCAAATCATGACTACCTGGGGTAGGGTGGGGCCACAATGGGGGATCAAGGTTTTACATAGGAATATATATGAAAAAATCTTTTCAAGAAGAGGAAAGCCATGATTAGTCATATTGATGTGGAATCATCCTCAGGTAGTGTATATTCTAGTTTGTTTAAATCATGACCCCCGGGGGGTAGGGTGGGGCTACAATGGGGGATCAAAGTTTTACATAGGAATATATGGGAAAAATCTTTTTAAAAATCTTTTCAAGAAGAGGAAAGCCATGATTAGTCATATTGATATGGAAGCATCCCCAAGTATTGTAGATTCAAGTTTGTTCCAAGGCATCCTCCAGTAGTAGGGTGGGGCCATAATGGGGGATCAAAGTTTTACAAAAGAATATATATGAAATATCTTTAAAAATCTTCTTCTCAAGGACATCAAAGCCATGATTAGTCATATTGATATGGAAGCATCTTCAGGTAGTGTAAATTCAAGTTTGTTCAAATCATGACCCCCCCCCCCCCCCCCCCCCCCCCGGTAGGGTGGCAGACATCTTTAAAATTCTGTTTTAAAGAACAGCAAAGCAGTGATTAGTTATATGAATATAGAAGCATCCTCAAAAAGTTAAGATTCACTTTCAATCAAATGGCACCTGGGGGTAGGTTATGCCTAGAACAGGCGATCAAAGCTTTACATATGAATATATAAGAGAAGAAATCTGCTGACGAAGAACTGCAGAGCGTTGTGGCCAATGGACCTCTTGTTTTTATAAAAACACAGCTATAAGTTATGTCATTCTAGCTTTATTTATTTACATGCTTCAAATTTATCAAGAAACTTGATAAATGTTAATAAATATCTTGATAAGTACTAGCATAACTAATAAGTCTGGACATGAATAATAACTTAAAATTGTTACTACATCCCTTTTCAGTTATCTAGACATGTTTGTTCTATAAAACATTAACTTTCCATCTCCATATCCATGTACACATAAATCATTCTTAGTTCGTTAACGCAACTAACGCTTCGACAACATCACCGTTGTGTTCCCGTAGTTTCCGCTCAGCAACTTGTCTCGAAATTTCCATTTCCGCTACAATCAAGTCCACATCTTCTTTGTTTATTTTAACTTTAGCCAGCTCCCGTTCTCTTTCCTGTTTTTTCGCCCTCTCTTTAGTTTTCCTATCACTCATTGCTTTCATCGCATCTCCGATGCTCTGAGCTGATATTTCCTTTTCTTCAACATAGTCTGTAACCTTTTCAAGATCCCTTGCACCCGAATCGTGCTTTTTTGTCTTAATTTCAGTAGATTCTTCCACTTCAATCTGAGCGTCATCTTCGTTATTCGCCATGCTTGTAGAGGGATACCGGTGCTAGACAAGTCGTTCGTTGATGACTTGGAACATGAACACACATGTCTCCAAGTGCTCAGGTAAAGAGTCGAACTTTTTTTTTGAAAATTTGATTTTGTTTGAAAAATTGAAAAATTATTTTGTTTGTATCTTTTTCCACACTTTTTATTTTAAAGTACATTCTAAAGCAACCCTTTTTCATAATTCATAACCTAAACAACAGAATCTATTTAAAGCAAGCACTAACATTAAATCTTTAAATTTATATACTGGTATGGAAAACTAGCATTATCATTTTACTAGATCTGCATGTGTATTAAAATATATTTTCACATGAATGTTTTTCTTCATATAAAATAAAGCATCTACCGTACTGGCTAGCAACCGACTTCTATTTACTTGGAGTATGATTTTTTAATACAGACTTTTACTCTGCGAATTTCTTGAAATCTTTACGTTGAGCATAAAAAAATGCAATTGCAAGATTAATTTCCATGGTAATTTCAACAAATTTTACTTGAACTGTACCAATTCTTGGAAACCTTTGTGACCCCCCCCCCCCCCCTTCATGGAAAGTTGATATAGGGTGCAATTTTTCATTTGATTGCTTCAATTGAATGAATAAAAAAAATATTAAAGAGTATGACAGTATTCTATCCTGAGCATCTTAACTGGATTGGGTATGGCACTTGCCACAAATGAGATAAAAAAAATAGCTAACACAAGAAAAAGTCAAAACATACTGCACCTTGTACCATGTTCTTTTTGCAAAAAAATCTTTTAAAAATTATTTGTGGTCTGTCCAAAAATGGACACAGTCTCAGAGAAAAAAATGTAGGTTGCAAGCCAGTACTGTTGATTTTGTAAACTATGATTGAAAATTTCTACTTATAACTTCTTTACCAAAAATTATAAAAAAGAAAATTGATATCTTATCCATAAATGTCTTAAAAAACAAATGTCTGCTTATCTTCTATAATTAACATAAATATTTTTCAAGGTACAGATCTTGAGCATTTAGTAATACATTTCATAGTCATTTTAAAGGGAAAGTAATATCTACTGGTAGATTTATAACATGAAATTATTACTTATATGTTGCTGTGATTTTAAAGGTTTCTTCATTTTTATCATCCTCATCATTAATGAATACCAGAATTTCAGCAACTCCTGGCTTCATTACAGGAATGAATTTCAACCCAATGGTGTAAGTTTCTCCCCCCTCTATGCTGAAATGATCTTCTCTGAACTGGAGTAAATCTTCTCTGCTGGACAAAGTGTGATACTCCCTCTTGTGTGGATAGGGATTTGTGTAGGTAATCTTCTTGTTGCTGCCTTTACCACCTCCAACTGGAAGCTGTAGTTCAAAGGCTCTAGAAATGCTTGGTGGCTGGCATATGACAGAGATGAGCCAAGTGCGAACCAACTGATGACACTCAACATCTACAACATTCAAATGAAACTGTTTATTGCCTTCTTTCATTGGACGGACTGCCACACTCAATTCATGAACAGCTCCAGCTGCTAACAAAAATTGTTCGGATGGGTACAGCTGCATTTCCCTAGGATTGGATGAGAAACTGCGAACAAGGCGTGATGCTTGAGTACCTCTTAGGAGCAAATTAAATCTGCTAGTTTGACCTTCAACACAAGTCACATCCACTTTCTGTAAGGCATGTAGATAGAGCTGCCAAATTTGTACAGGGTGGCTAAGGAAGGGATCTGAGTATACACACACATAAAAATGCTTAATTTGGGGTGAGGCTGCTAGAGCTGCTTTAATGAAGACATCCACTGGTTCTCCACTCTGTGTAGGTTTGCATTCTGTGATTACATTACTGTCACTGCAGCGAACAAAGAACTGAGTAGAACCAGTTCCACCTGCTGTAGCTGAAAGATTTGGAGAGCCAGGAAGACGAATTGATTTTTTAAAGAATGTCTGCTCTGGGTGGTAAAATCGGAATGTCTGATTCACTACATGAGGCTGGGGTTCAATTTTTAGTTGTAAAATTGATACAGCTTTGCCATTCTCTCCTTTGAAGAGTGCTCTGACGTATTTTGTTTGCATTAAATGGGATGTTTTCTTACTCATATCATCTTTTCGAGATTTGAAAGGATCAGATGGACCCTGCAGTTGGACGGACTGATCTGTGGTAAAGGTGAGGTATTTGAAAGGAATCTGAACAGTTTCTTTTGGACGAAGAAAGATCTGAGGATGTTGTGAAGAGCTTTCTTTGATGAACATATCTTCTTCCACCTGGGTCTGTACACCATTTAGCTGCTTAAAATAGCGCCACTCCCTTGCGTCTGTAATCACCCTTAAATCAGTGTCTTCAAACTCTATTGTGATCGTCTGTTGTACGTTCAATGGATTTTTAAGAACAAATTCAAAGAATTCTGGTGAGCCAAAGGAGGGATGAATGATATGCTCAGTGGAGATGGACTGGCTCAACATGTTCATGATACCATCTTTTTTTGTCTGTAGTCGGTAAATTTCCAGAGTTTTGTAGTCCTTCATTCTTTCTTGTTTTTCTGTTTTAAAAGCCAAAACTGTATTGAACTTGTTGTCTATGCCTTTCTTCTGTCTCACAGCTTCCATGCGAGCCAATTTTCTCTTTGTCTCTGCATCCAGCTCCTGTGGACCATCATCTTTTTCTGGTATCATTTGATCATTGTGGGTAGACAGCAGCTGAGCTACTTCCCTGTTTTTCTCTGCAATGTGGTGAGCACGTACTACTTTCTTTTTCGATGATACAACTGGCTTTGACACTACAGACCCTCCTTCTAAACTTCCACCTGGATAAGAAATGTTTCCAGCTGTCTGAGAAACAACCACATGGCTTTTCTTTTTAATGGTCAGTGGAGCTTCAATCTGAGCCTTGTGATCTACCAAGTGGCCAATATTAGCCATTCTGAAATGGAGCTTTCCATTTAGCCAGGTTTTGTTGCCAGGATGTTGTGCAGAGTTGGCACCACTCATATTAGAAATTTCCTCATATTCTGTTTTAATTACATCTAGTTCAAATGTTGACTGCACAGCTTCATGTCCATTCCTGCATAAATATTTGAGATCAACTGCACATTGTCCAACCAGGAATAATGATTCCCCATCCCAGACATCAATGTATAAAATCTGCTGAGAGAGGTGTTGAAGGAACATCTGCATTTCTCCTGGTTTCATAAACATTGGATCCATCATGTACTTAATCTGTAGTCCAGCAGGACCAGGGTGATCCTTTTCCAATTGATGAATGATGTATGGCATGGAAGTGCTATCTGACACTAACTCGTTTTGGGGTTTACACAGCACTACCCTCTCCGTTGTTACTTGAGGTAACCTGTAGAATTGGAAAGTAAAGAAAATTGTGTTGCCATGGTCAGTAACTGAATTCTCTCCAGCAGATGGCCTATCAAAGGCAAGAAACTGGAGTACAATTTCATTACACTGGAAAGGATCCTGAATTTCTCTATTCAAATTAACATCCCATGGTTTCTGCACATCAATAACTTCTGGAGGTTCCCCATTAGCATCAAGAATGGCTGGAAAATCAGTTGAGTAAAGCTTAGCATATGCTGCTCTTGACAATCCTCTATTTCTATTAGGTTGAGGTGGAAGTGCCATGATAGGTGCATGTAATGGTTGGCAGGGTAGTTCCTGCATCTCTGTGGCAGCAGTTATTGTACTTCTTGGAGTTTGTTGATAAGCTGGACCATATCCATACATTGGTTGCTGCATTGGCATATATGGGTAACCAGGCTGTAAGTTTGGTGGCTGCATCTGTTGTTGGAGTACACTTGAATACATAGCAGCTACCATCTCAGGTTGCATCATTGACTGCTGGGGTACTTGATGACCAGGGACACCTCGTTTTCCTGAAGGGGGTTTTCTACCAGTTGGACTATCTATTAGCATAGTTTCATCTGCTTCACTGCGCATCGAAGACATAGAACCTGGATGAATTATTTGGGAAATGGGCAATGGTTCACTTACTCCATCTCCTCTTCCCCACTGTAGCATAATCAAGCCACCTGCTGTTTTATTTGCTTCCAAGTTTTGCATTTTTGTATCGGGCATCTTGAAGAGGAAATCATAATCTGGGAATTTTGTTGGGCCTCCATGCAAGGACACTTGGACAGCTTGATTATTTGTGTGCAAAACTGGATTCCAAACTCCCCATCTAACTGAGACAGTTTCAGTATGTCCTTTAGTAATACTTTGGGACAATTTTTTCTCTTCCTCAGATATTTTATGTGTTAATACATATTCTAAAGTGAAAACAACAGCACACATTGGGTCATCTAACACTTCATTTAGTTCAACTTTGTTTTTCATAACAAGACATGTAGATGTACCATCACTGCTGTTTAAAGATTTCTGTGAAGTATGGAATCTTTTGCTTCTGCGAAGATTTGGACTATTTTGTGGCTTTAGGGCTTTGGTCTTTTCATCATACACATCTAGATACATTGTCTCTGGTTTCTCTAGAAAATTCAAACCATTATGAACTCCAACTATGAGTCTGCGTTCAAGAACTGATATGGACGTTCCAGGTAACTTTTTGTTTTCTATACCCTCTCTATCTTTGTGTACAGCCTCGCAGAGCTCTTCATCAAACTTTTCGACATTTGGGTGCAGCTGAATGCGCAGATTATTTATTTGAATGGGTACTTGATTCAGTAATTTGGGCCTCTTCAGGGAATCAACACTTGTATTATTTCCATCTAAAAGCCCTGGTATGACTTCATTACCCCCCACAAGTGTATTTTCTGGTAAAAGGGACAGAACTCCATACATTGGTCTGTGTTTCATAACTGTGAATGATATTAAACAGTCTGGGATTGGCTTCAGGTTTTCATTTTCTTCTACTGGTTCATCCATGAAGAATAAAGCCCTCGGTGTTCCATAATTTAGCTGTACCTTTTTTGCTGGCACATTTTTCCCTTGAGAAGATGCTTCTTCACTGTTCTCTTCTTCATTAAATACCCTCAAAACACTCCACCCACATGACACTCGTTTGGGCTTGATGCTATCTCTCTGTGTTACGGCAACAACCTCTACAACAGCTACTATATTAGCACTGTGGATAGATGTGTGAAAATACAAACTTTCATTGTATTTCAGCTTTGGTCTTTTGACTCCCCCTCCCTGTGGTGGTACAATGGGTCCAACCCACTGTCTGCCATAAAACTGTCTGTAGGCTGCATCATACAGGCTGACATAAACTTGGTAATCTGGCTGTTTTTCAGAATCCCCTTTTCCTATCAGTCCTTCTATGGTATTCAGAGTAATTCGTAGTGGCGTGGATACATCTGGTGCTGCATGCTCTCTTTCAAATGCTGGGGGAAGCACTGCAGACTTGGAAAAAAATTCTTTCCATCTTTCTCCTGAGCTGAATGCTGTCATCTCTATTTCTCTAAAAAACAACAACAAAGAAATTAAATTTTATCTACCATGTTAGTGCTTAAAATATATAGTCTTTACTTTATAAAGTATAGGAAAACAAGAGGCCCAAGGGCCTTGAATCGCTCTTCTGATAAACTGTACAACCTATTTGAAACCTCTAAGTATCCTGTATATTTAGATAAACCCTTGAAATTCCAATTCACATTCTGAGAACCCATGATGATTCTAAGCCAACTAGTACCAGAGAGTTGGTCAGAAGACCTACTTATCACTTGTCATTCTCTGAGGACCCATCAACTAAGTTTGATGATTCTAAGCCAATTAATACCTAAAATATTTTTTAAAATTATAACCATAAAATTTTATATAAGTAGGTCAATGTGACCTACTTTTCAGTTGTTGTACTCCAAGGACCCAAGATGCATCAACTGACAAAATTTGATGATTCTAAGCCAATTAGTACCCAAAATATTTAATTAAAGCCATAAATTTTCAAAAGTAGGTCATGGTGACCTACTTTTCAGTCAACCTACTCCGAGGACCCAAGATGCATCAACTGACAAAGTTTGATGATTCTAAGCCAATTAGTACCTGAAATATTTAATTAAAGCCATAAATTTTCAAAAGTAGGTCACGGTGACCTACTTTTTAGTCTACGTTTTTTGAGGACCCAAGATGCATCAAATTACAAAGTTTTATGATCATAGGCTTTAAAATGTCCAAATTATGCCTCTAAAACACTTTGAAATCGAATGCCTGCAAAGTTCAAAAAGTAGGTCACTGTGACCTATTTTTTAATAAATATGTTTTATGGCCCCAAGATGCATCATCTTACAAGATTTAATGATTCTAAACCTCTCAGTATTCAAATTAATGACCTTAATTGTTTTGAAAAAGATTAGACATTAAATTCAAAAAGTAGGTCAAGGTGACCTACTTTTTAGTTGACGTACTCTGAGGACCCAAGATGCATCAACTGACAAGGTTTGATGAACATAGACCTACTTTTGAGTCAACATGATAAGAGGTCCTTAGATGCATCAACTGACAAGATGTGATGATCCTAGTCCTTATAGTAAGCAAAATATCAACATTTTAATAAAATGTAATTTTTGGTCAACTTTGAAGTGATCTTGAGACCACGCCCTTTGCCCCAGGGTAAATCCCTGTGCAAATTTTAATCTACAACATATCCTCATCCTTTTGTGTATGTTTGGTGATAATCTGCCCAGTAGTTCTTAATTGAGAAGAAGATTTTTTAGCAACCAGTACTTTTGTTTCTATTTTCCTAATGATTTCCCCTTGTTAAAGGGTCACAACCCTAGTTTTAGTATAAAAGGGAGCCCTTGGGCCAAGGATACCCTGTGACAAATTTGACAATAATTGGCCAAGGGGTTCTTGAGTTATGGCCCATATTCTAAAAAGTTTAAGCACACCACACAAATGGCCATAGCATTAGCTCTTTGAGCCTTTGGCTCAGAAGAGCTAAAAAACAGGAATGCTCTTTACATAGTACTGATAGGTCATCCTAAAATATGAAAGTTTCTTATAAGTCAAATGTGTATTATAAGTGAAATGTGTCTACTTTTAGATAAATAAATATCTATAAAAGTATAGTCCTAAATAGAGTTATAGATTTTTGTAGGTGGCCGTGATACTTTACACAAAATAAGGAAACAAACATATGGTACATAGCTCTCTCAAATGGGATTTAATAGCCTGTGTGGGTTGTCATATTCCAATGGGATATTTTACAGTCCAAAAAAATATTTACTATCTTGAAGTATTTTAAATCAAGTAATAAAGTTTTCTCTTTTTTTTTCTTTTACATTTTTTTTTTTTTTACATGCGTGAAAATACCCAATTGTGGAGTTTGGCACTTCATCATCAGAAGAAAAATCTGCTGTAAAATGCATAAAAAGCTACAACTTTTGCATTCAATTTATATGTACTGGCTGTAAGCGAAATGTCAACTATTTTTTACCTCATTCATGAGATCATGATGGGACACCAAATTCAAGGAAAATGAAAATTTTTCCCATATTTTGAATGGTTTACCAGAAACCAACATTTTTCTTTAATTCTCCCTCTCAAATTTTCATCTGATGCATGACTTACTCTGCTTGGTTTATGCAAATAAAACATCATGATTGAATATGTCAAACATTTCCAGTGATAATTAAATTGTTATAAAAACATATCAAATCTTCTTGCAGGTTGAATTGTTTTTATATTAAAGGGGGTTTTCAATTATAACTTGTTAGAATTTTGTCAGTAGAAAAAGACATTTCTCTGAGAGAACAATACCAATCAGAGCAACTCTGCATGACAACACAAAATTTAATCCATACTTTATTTGCGCTGCTTTGCCATTACATGTAGTATTGTCCTTTCTGAGATGCTTTAGGATCATGAAAAAAAATGCAGATGACTGGAAACAGAAACTCTTGCCTGGTACTGTACACCTACTGTACCACAGTGCCTGGTAACACTTCCTATACTACAGACATTCTTTTTACAAAATTCAACATTGATCATGGGGATTGATGTGAATATGAAATTCTATAATCTACAAAAGTTGCTTGCAATAACTAATTAGCACTACATGCTGGGGTACATTTGTTAATTTGAAATTAAGTAATTAAAAATGGATCCTTTCATGTGATTTTTTTGGGGTTGATATTTTGTACAGTGTTTTGATGAGCAATCTACAGTATTTTCACCTTAATGTCAGTAATTGTTCAAGGCTTCGGTACAGTATTTAACTATTTTGGTCTAAAAATCATCAAATGTATGCTTTTGGTACTACATTAATTAAGGCATTGATGCCACAAAAGATCCAAATCTTCTTGGGGATCAATCTCAGAAACTGCAGGGTCATTAAAAAACTGCTGTAACCCAAACAGGCTATTATTTTTCAGTTGGGCAAGTAGTCCCAAACCGTTCCACTAATTTATATATTTTCTCCCGAATTTTCTCCAATTTATGTTTTTTATACGCATTGTTGATCTTCGATTTTTTTTTCGGTTGTATTAAGCATATTTCACGTGTTATTGGGGATAAACGTTTATTTGAAATAAGCTCTCTGTCAAACCCTTATGTCATTATGAATAAAATAAAGGCAAAATATGTCTGCATAGTCGCAGTTTAAAAAGTTTTGAAATTATCTAACAAATTTATGGATCCTTCATAGTAAATGATATACTCTGTCTCCAGCATGCTTATTTTGATTTTACCTAGAGTTTCGTCCTCGTTGACAGCTATCTGCACTTGTATAAGGCTGTTCGTGAACACTTTCTGTCAAATATCATGTATTTGAATCGCTATGGCCGCCATGATGTAAACAAGTCTGATCCCGTATCTTTTCCGGTTAGGTCGGACAAAAAATGTTTCGTCGGTGATGATTCTCTCGGTGGAAATGAGCAATCAACAACGAATCTTTCTTGATGGGGGCAACTGATAAAAAATGAGCTCAGTTTAACTTTTAGCACTTTTTTTCGTTTGCTAAAAAATACCAAAAGTTTTGTCAAAGAATTAACAATAGATAAATAATTATTTACATACACGAATGACGCATGACGCACCTAAATCAGTGGTATGATGCTTACAAATTGTAGTATTTACCCAAATAATTTCAATACCAAGCATGCAAATGATATAGAAATAATAAAAAAAAATAACACTATAAATTTATTGACTGGGTTCGAGGGCAACATACGTTTTGCCGGACCCAAGAACCAAACTGTTTTGTTCACAGATACTCGTGGACAGATGTCCCTTACCCCCTCCCCCCTTCAATATTTAAAAAAAAATCTGATTAAAAAAATTAATCTCTGACAACTTTTATCTATATGTCTCTGTTTGAAAATCACATAAACATATCAATATGCAATTTCTATTCACAGTTGTTTCACGTACGTGTATATATTTATTTTTTTGTGGAGGGGGGGGGGGTATCTCGTGCTGGCTTCCATTTAGGCCTATGTAAGTTTCGTTTTCCTGCAGATTACACTCGGTTCAATTCCGTAACTATCGGAAACCAACGAATGCAAATAAGATACAACTGATCCTGCCTACAGTGTGACGTAAGCGGTCAAATACCAATATCTCGCTCAGCGGTCTAACATCGATTTTTTTTGACCGATCAGTAAAACATTGGAAATGTTAGACCTTTTCAGCATATATTTATATAGGAAATAATTTTTGAAGGTATAACAAAAGGATATATTTAAAAAATGTTGTAGCTATATTGTTTTACATCTCTCCTCCCCCTCCTCTCTCTCTCTCTCTACATATAACTTGAGAGTCGCTTTTAACGCTGGAGGGAATCGAAAACCTTCACTTCAAACTCAGTGTGTCACGGCTTTTAAATGCATTTGTAGCTGATATTAAATTTGCACAATTCTGCTATATCGCACGTTACAATACGATTGCTAAGGTACATGTACATGCATACAGGAAGTTTGCAAGGCTTAACATATGGTCAAACACTTCAGATGTATTTGCAGTGATTTTGGGAAAGATTAAAAAGAGGGAGTCGCAAAATACTTTGTTTCGAAACAAACTAATGATATAATGTAACACCGAGTATTCTTTCTACCTGCATTTTATTTAATTTAAAAGCATTTGACAGTGGTCTCTTAAATTGGTGCCGTCTTGAGGCCCCATGTGGGTCCTGGAGACGAAGCTCCTGCATGGATTCTAGAGATATAATAGGACATAAGTGAAGTCCCCTGAGAATACATTTTTAGGTCACCTGAGTTTACTCAGGTGACCTATTGCTATCTGTTTTCGTCCGTCGTCGCGCGTTAACATTTGAACATTTTCAGCTTCTTCTCTGAAACCGCTCAACCAATTTCAACCAATTTTGGCAAATAGTATCTATGGGTGAAGAAATTTGTGAATTTTGTGGTCCCTACACTCCCTCGGGCCTGAGGGGTGGGGCCAAAACCACTAAAATTAATGCAGTTTTTAAAAATCTTTTTTTTAACTCCTGGACATCAAGC